GCGGGGGCGGGGCGGGCGGGGAGCGCGCCCGTCCCTGGAGCCGCAGTCAGTCCTGCCGCGCGCCGCGAGGACGAGCTCGGCCCGGAGCCCGCGGCTGAGACCCCGGAAGGCTGCGCTCAGCTGGGACCCGCGCCACGCGTGTTCGCGCCTAGACGTCTCACGGGCCCAGTAGGGCACGGTCGGACCCGGCGCCTTCGGCCTGGCAGCGGCGGCGCAGCTCGGTAAGTGACCTCGGGGACGGCGGGCGGCTGGCGCCTTTGTCTGGCGCCTTGGAAGCGCGGACCTGAGCCCCGCAGATCCGACCCTGAGCGGCGGAGCGGTCCCCGGGAGGCTCGGGTCCCCGGCCTGCGGCGAACGCAGTGCACCTGGACAGCGGCGCAGGTGGCGGACAGGTGACACGCGTGGCTCTGGACGGACGGACGCGGCGGCCCGCTCCTCCCGGCAAGGGGGTGGGCGCGGGGGACGCGGGTCACCAGCGGGGAGTGCGGAGGCAGATGGCTTTACAGGATGGACTACAGCCAGCCTGGCGGCCCCGGGTCCCTGAAACAGCGCGAGGCCTAGGTTGGCAGGAGGGGAGGAGTTTAGCGTGGGAGGCGACAACGGTCCTGAGAGGCCGCCTTGCCCTCGCGGAGACCGGGTGCTGGCTACCGGCCTGGGATCTGAGCCGGCTCTGAGCGCTTGCTGATGCCTCACCTGCCTTACAGGACAACCAAGACCTTGCCCTCCTCCCTCCGCGAAGCTCTGGCTCTGGTTCCTTTTGAGAGATGAAGAAGGCGGCAGAGCACTGGTCCTGCTGTAGGCCAGGACCCCAGCCCAGCCCCTCCTGGGCCACCTGGGGCCCACCCATGGCTACGTGGGGCCACCTGCTCACATTGCTGCGGTGCTGCACCTTCCTGGCCAGGCTGCCTGGTTGTCAGGATTTAGCCATTTGATGCCCCAGGGTCCACTTGCTTGTTAAAGACTCACTTGTCGCTGTGGGTCTTATGGAATGCTCCTGAGGGCCCTTGTGTCTTTTGGTCTCCCTCTGTCTCCTGGTTTATAAGGTGGAGTGGACTTTGGACAGCATTCTTTGAGGATCCAATCTAGTGAGCCTGAGAGGGACAGGTTTCCTCGTTCCTTTGTGTTTTCCAGTAGAAGAGCTTGCTGGTCCACGGCATTGCAGTTTATGTTTGTGTTTGTGAAATGCCCAAGGCGGAGGCAGGAGTTAGGCTGGTGGGAGATAGACTAGAGGGGAAGTTTCTTCCTGTTCTGTCTGTAGGACAGACACCAAGTCGGAAGCTTTTCGTAGCAAGGAAGCTTTAGGGAATATTCCATTTAAGACCTGAGTTTTATGGAGATTTTATCAGGCCACACTCAGGGAGGGATTTTCTAGATGGTCACCCATGGGTCCGGAGACCATCCTGCATCTACTCATCCTTCCAAGCCACTTCCTGATGGGCACCTTCCCATGATGTGCATCCTCCTTAGACACAAGAGGCCCAGGGACGTCCAACTAGAAGCTGGGATGAAGCCACTGGTAGTGAGGGACACCCAGAGACCTATTAGAGTGCTCACCTCTTAACCATGTGGGATCCCCCCAGCCCAGGAAATGATACACCAGCTGTGTGTGTTTGTTTTTTAAAGTTAGGACCGCAAAGAAAATCTAGTTAAAAATGAATGTGAATGTTGGTTGGACAATCAGTCTAAGGGTTTAACTGTTCTAAAATGAATATTTCTCCTAAGTGGAGGTTAAACAAAAGCAATTTGTTTCAGATCCATTGGAAAATCTTCCTAAAGCCCCACATTTATGCCCAAAGGTGAGAAAGTATAAGCTGAGTTGCCTGTTTGAGATCTGGATTTTAGGGGCTCCATCACAGTTTTGAATGTCAGTTCTCAGTGTCCCTGGTGGTGGTAATGACTGTGTACTGATTAAGATCTCTCCCAGAAGCTGGAAGAGGACAGAGATGTTTTCTATTTCTGCCCTAATTTTTCTTGCTCATTGGGAGTCATTTTATTTCACTTGTTGTTTCTCTCTAGTTTTTTAAAAAGTAGCACATACTTCAGATTAGCCACTGTTTCTCTGCCTTTTTTTCAATACCTGGTACCATTTACTGACTATGTACACACTGCCAGACTCTTCTAAGAGAGACTTACTACTTCATTTAGGAATCAGGCCATCCCTGAGAGACCCTCATTTGTCCTGTTAGTAGCCTTCTTCACTGGCAAGGAAGCTGAGGCACAGAGAAGCTAAGTAAGTTACCTGAAGGGCAGTTAGGAAGAGGCAGTGGTCACTTGGGGAGAATTCTACCAGCTTCCTCTAGCTCCCCTGTGTGGCCTTGATGAATAGGTCACCTTGAAGATGCCCTTCATTTCTCTTGAAAATTCCACCAGTCAGCAGTAACCATGTTCAATGAAATGTGCTTCCTTTTCAGTGACTTGATTATAAGGACCTTGTCATCTGTCTTTGTTGTCATCCCCTCCTCAGCATCCTCTGTTGTTAGTAAAGAAGACGTTCCAGTGACTCAATCTAATTTTAAATAAATAATCACTCAGCAGTGAGACACTTTGGTTGAGCCATTATAGTCCACTATTAGAAGTCTGGGAGCTGTGTAGAACAGAGGAGGTGACGTTAGGGAGCCCTAGAGTCCCCAGAGCAGAAACGCCAAATGAGCAGCTGGAACACCATCCTGGACAAGCTTTTACATCTCTGTCAAAATCTGTCATTTCTTCCAGCAATGTCTTCAGTGAGGAAGCTGATGCAAGGATGAGGGCTAGCCAGGCAGGTTTGTGATCTGTAGGACAGCCTGACGCTGAGGGTGGCTGAGGCTTCTATCCCCCGGAGAATGGAAAACTGTGGGTGCACAGCCTGAAACTACTATAGTCTTGGTAAAATGCAAAATTGTGGTTCTGTATGCTTTATTCTAAGCACTGTGAACAACACTGAATAGGTCTAAGCCACCATTATTAAAAAATTAAGTGACAAATGATTAAGGATAAGCAGTCTAGTGTGATATTAGCCTCTGGAATATGTATATCATTCTGAAATTGAGTAATATGAAATGAGACTCATAAGAGTAAAATATGTCACCAAACAGGCTTTATAAATCTAAAAAAGCAAAACCTAAATGGATTAATAAAATACATAAAGAACTTAAGGCTATTGGTAGTGAGGGAAATGAAACTGGAACAGCACTCAGGTACTTTTCCACATTCGTACTACTGGTCAGATGTTATGTTGTAACTGTGCTAAGTATTGGGTGTGATGTAGATAACTGAAAGCTCATTTTACCAAGTAGAGGCATAAATGGGAACAAATGTTTTACAAAATGATCTAGAAAAGCTAAAGATACAGTCTTCCCTGAAACCTCAAAACTTCACTTCCAAGTACACACACAGAGGACCTGGTCATACTACAGATGGTCACTGAGGTAACTTGCTAAATATTTTTGTTCCCAAGTACTTGTAGGTTTACATGCAATGTTAAGAAATAATTACAGAGACCTCACATACCCTTTACCAAGTTTCTACAATGGTTAACACCTTATAAAACTGCACAGAAACCATCACAACCAGGAAATTAGCATTGTTACAATCTGTTTACTTCATCTGGATTTCAGATCACTAATTTATTCATGCCCCCATGAATGAGTGTGTGTGTGTGTGTGTGTGTGTGTGCGCGCGCTATGGAACTTTACCATCCTGTGCATAACTGGTCTCATGACCAACACAGTCAAGGAACAGGACAGTTTCATTGCAGAGTGCCTTGTGATACTGCGTAGTCACAGCCAACTTCCTCCATTCCACTCCCTAACGTATGGCAACAACAAAGCTGTTCCTCATTTTTTATAACGTTGTCATTTTAAGAATGCCATGTATGTAGATTCATACATTATAGAACCTCTTGCAGCTGGCACGGTTGTCTCGTGATCTGTCCAGGTTGCTGGGCATGTCTGTAGTTACCAGGCTTCTGTACTGCTGTGGCGTGTTCTGTAGTGTGCTTGGGGACAACAGTTGAACCATTCATCATTTCACAACTGCTGAGGTTATTTGATTTAAAGTTCTGTGAACATTCAAGTATATATTTTTGTGTGAATAGTTTTCATTTCTCTGGGATAAATGCCCATAAACATAATTGCTGAGTCCTGTCATAAACCCATGTTTAATTTTATGAGAAGTTGCCAACTTTTCCAGAATGGACATGCCACTTTGCATTCCCCGGGCTAAGTGACCCAGGAGCTTGACAGAATTTGCTGGACTGCATTTGGGTTTATCACTTTTTAAAAACAATTTTAGCTGTTCTAATAAATGTGTGGTGATAGTTCACTGTGATCTTAGTTTGCGTTGCCCGTGTGAATAATGATACCACAGGCCTTTTTATATGCTTATTTGCCATCTGTAAAGTCTCCTTGGTGAGAAGCTCATCTTCCAATTGGGTTGTTTGACTTTAGCTATTAAGTTTTCTTAGTTCTTTGTGTTTTCTAGATAGCATTCCTACTGGTTTGCAGATATTTTCTACCAGGTTAGCTTCTCTTTGCATTTTCTCTGAAGGGTTTTTGTTAGAGGAAAGGTTTTTCACTTTGATAAACTCAAATGTATATTCTTTTTCCTTTCCTGATAGGAGGTCTACAAAGTCTTAAGTCTTACAGACTGCTTTGTGCTTTTTTTTTTCTTACAAGTTTTAGAGTTTTCCATTTTATACCTAAGCCAGTGATCCATTTTGAGTTAATTTTTTGCATAACATGTGAGGCTTAGTTTTAGGTTGAGGTTTTCTGTTGTGCTTTCTTTTTGTTTGTGCCAGTAAATGGTCAGTGGATCTAAGACTGTTGGTTGGAGAGATGGCCTTTACTCCATTGAATTGCTTTGCCCCTCTGTGGAAAGTCATTCCCGCATAATTTTGTGGGTCTCCTCTGGGCTCTATTCCATTGAGCTGTGCCTGCCCCCCTACAAGGATCACTGTACCTCAACTGTCACAGCAGTGTCACAAGCTTAATGAGAATATTGGTAATGATTCTAGGCTTTGTGCCTTTCCATATGAATTTTAGAAGAGTTCATTTATGTATATAGAAGTCAAACTGGCATTTTGATAGGAAGTCCACCAAAGACCAATTTGGAGCAAATTAACCATTTTACCGCACTGAATCTCCTAATCCACTATCACAGGTTTTCTTTCATTATGTAGAACTTTTATTTCTTTCACCAGTGTTTTCTGATTTTTAGAATTTAGATTGTAAATCTATGTATT